CTGCTACGGCAACAACTGTTGGCGAAGCTGTAAGTCGTTCGCTAGCGCCGTCGGTCTTGTCTGGAATGATTTGAATCTTGCACGTAGGGTCCGGTAGACTGGATGTTAATAAATATTTCTGTTGACTGTGCCCGCTGAGGACCAGTCCGGCCATATTGTTCTTTTGAAAATTAGTTAATTTTCTCCATTCCAATTGTACCTCTGTAGACATTCCTTGAAGTATCCCAGTTTTATAACTTTGCCGCAAGTATGGAACCGAGGGGAATTTACTTGCTACATAAATAAGAAATTTTATTTACAACACAACTGGAACAACATTCTGATCACTTCTTAAAAGCAACCTACTTCTGTCCGACGCGAAAAGAATATACCTTATATAAAATCTACGCGAGACAAATTGTAGCCATGACCATTACGGTTCCTGCTACCAGTAACGTATAACATTTTTGAATATAAAAGTAACTGGTTTAGCTGCAGCAAGTTCATGAATCCAAGACACAACTCTCATAGTGCTTAAAAACTCTGGACGAGAAAAGCCGTCCGAAATATTGAAAGCATCAAATAAAGCAAACCCTTATCAGGACCTGATTACCTCATACAAGGACTCCAGGCAGACAAGAAAGGCTCCGTGCCCAAATCTATAAAAAAAAATGCCAAAAATTGCAAACAGGGAGACGAACACAAGTAACTAAATCACTTGCGGGACGAAAAAAGGAGCCGCTCGGTAGACCTGTGGGGTTCTATTGTTGCGGCGAGATGTACTTCAAGAGTAAATAGTCCGAGCCCGTGAGCGGCAAACCTTTGGAAAGAGACCGCCATATTCAGCGTAAACTGATCAGCGCGCGTGGTAGGGGTTCGGATTTTTTTTTACAAAAAAACGCTGCAGTTCAATACCGCTAGCCAATTGTTTTTTGCTTACGTCGGAACTATCTGTACGAACCAACATTCATGAAAAGGTGTTTGACTAAAACACGCACTACAAAGTTATCTGTTTGGTTACGAAACTCTGAATTCACTAAAGGTTACCGTAGTCTTAGTCAAGATTCGAAAGCCATTAGAAACCGCGGTTCCCTGCCAAAGTCTGACTATAAGAAAC